CCCTGGGACTCTAAAACAATAATGACAAATAGACGTCTCTACTGAAAACGACAACTGCCATCCAGCCTAAGGCCGGCCCGATCAGACAGAACACGGTTTTTAGGTCTGAAAACGCGAGTCGCACCGCACTGCCTTTTTTTTTTTTTTTGGTGACTTTAAGTGGTCTGCTCACCAAACTGGTTTCAAATGGTCAGGGTGATTTGATAGCTTAGAGGGGTTTTGGCACCTTTTCAGATGGTCAGTTTGGGAGAACAAACCGGTTAACCTGGGTTTGGCTTCTTAAACTAGTTTAAGTAGTTTGTTTTCAGCGGCGGTGAAAACCAAATATTAGAAGAAACGCGTAAAATGCTGCACGGCAACTTTTATTTTGCTTGATAAATCAAGCGAATTGGTGAATCATTTTCACTCAAACGAACCGATTCGCTGCAATGAACTAATGAACAACACAAGCCAGCCAAGACCCGCCTACATCTCTCACTCACTCCTCCTAGAACTACTAGCTCTCCAACTTCCAACGCGTTAATGTGAGGCGTTTATTCAAATGGGATCTGAGGATAAAATAATCAGCTGGCTCTGCCGGTTAACGGTTATTACGGCTTTCTTCTTTATTGGCTTTATTATTGGTGAGTTTTTCTACTTTTATAGAAGTATGTATATAATTATCTGCAATGCCTGTCGTGATTAATTCAGAGTCAAGTTGTTTTAGACTACGCACTGCGCATAATTAGCTAAGATAGCACTAAAACAAAACAAAGTTAAATACTGGGACCCTTTAGATTCATCATTAACTCGTGGATTTTTCGCCAAAAACTAGTGCAGGTGTTTGATACCTTTGGTCTCACCTGTCCAGATCTCATGCGTTGCATTCCACAGGTCTTGAACGCCTTTAGGGCAGATGTGACTATACTGAGACAGAGACCCCATTCACTTCTAATAGATCAAGTGTTTAAACGCATTTATATTTTTATTTTGGAAATAATTGTTCACAATCTTGAAGAAGAGATGCTCTTGTGTTACACAATTATGGAAAATCTGGAAATAGATAATTGTAACATTGTATAATCATTAAAAGTGCTGGAAATTTACTATGGCAATGTCATTTTTTCTATTCATGTTTGACTCTTAAATATTGCATAGAATGCAAAATATTGCTTAACCAAATTTGCGTGGACAAAGTCATGGAAATTCACTTAAAATGTGTGGGAACCTAAATGTTTTGATCACTTTTTGTGTTTATTGTTGCTTTCAAAAATACTCTTGCATTTGTGATACTGGATTTTTTACTGACACTTTTAGGCAATTACTACATTATTCTTTCCTCCTGTGCAGA